GGCGCCGCCATGGTGCCAGACGGACAGTCGGGTCGGGCCCGAGCTGCCTGAACCATCGGGTCGGGCCCGAGCTGCCTCGCCATCGGGTCGGGCCCGAGCTGATACGGCTGCCTCGCCATCGGGTAGGGCTCGAACTGCCCGAGCCGAGAGCTGGGCTGGGCGAGAGACGTGCAGCCAGCGTGCTGCCGTGATCGGCGGCGCGCCAAGGGGGCGGGCCTTCTCGGAAGGCTCAGGGGCCTCCCAAGACGCCTTCTCGGCCGATTCTTAAGTCGGGCGTGTCCTCCTACAGGCGGATCTTGGAGGACAAAAATCATCAATCAATGCACAAAATACAACAAAAACAAAAACGTCCCTCTACTGCTAATTTCCCTCCTGTAGAGGGGCACGTCCGACTTAAGCCTACTCTCCGAAGCCACACGGGGCTCCTCTCTAGGCCGGGGGGGCTTGTGAGAAGCCACGCCGCCCTCTGCGAAGGCGTGCCCCTCTCACCCCTCCCCTGGCCATCGCTCGGACGTCCATTTCCTGTGCTTTTTTCGGTCTCGTGCGTGGTTTTTCGCGAAATGATCAAGGATGCTCCTCGATGGTCCTCGCCGAAGGAAAAATGCACACGTCCGAGCGATGCCAAGTCCCCCCTTTGCCCTCGCCCGGCCGGCCGTTCCCCGTGCACTCGGCGGTGCCGTGCGCGCTTGTTGCTGCCCGCTGCTCCAGGGAGCTCCCCGATGGCCCGCGCCGAAAAAAAAAAAACGTGCACTCGTCCGGGCGAGGCCCAGCCCCCTCGGCGCGCCGCCGACCCAGGGAGTGGCAGAAGCGACCTTTTTTTTAATGAGAGTAATAGTAATCAGCAATAATAATGATAAACATACTGATTATATTATTATTATTCTTATTCTTCTATTCGTCGTATTCTTATACATACGCGTATATATATATATATATATGTATATATATATATATATATGTAACTGTTAATGGGCGAAGGCGCGCCTCGGCCACGACTAGGCCCTTCGACCTCGGATCTGAGGAGCGGCCCGAAGACCGCAGCCACTCCCGAACCCACGGTGGTCCCGGTTCGAGCGTCTTGACAGCAAGCAGCCCAGTCCCGTCGCACCTGCGCTTAGGTCGGGCATGTGCCCTTACAGACGGAGTTTGGAAAAACTCAAACAAATACCCAAAACATGCTCAACCAGATTGAAAGAAAAGCGTCCCCAGACTATTGTTTGACCATTTTTGAATATTCCTCCTGTAGAGGGAGGGGCCCGGCTTAAACCTGCGCAGATAACTCCCCCCCTGTGGCGGCCCACCAAGCAAAACTAAAGCCACCCACCCCGTGGCGCCTCCTGGTGCAGAAGTACGATGGATACTCGCACCCAGGGCTACGACACCTAATAAAATGCAATGGGTCCACGCTCTCGCGGCCACCGGAACCTCGCTCCACAATCCACGACCGCTTTTGAAATGCGAAGGCCACAACCCCTCCCGCGATTCTCCCGCGATCGACTCGCGACCTTCACCCTTGTCCACAATCGCGGGGCTCAGGTAAATTGTTTTGGGCGCAACGGGAAACGCTGCTATCCACGTCTCTGTGAAGAACAACCCTGCTCAAGCCTGCTGGGCGACGCCGTGGCGTTCTGCACCGTTGGCTGGGCCCTATTGGATTGTCTGACGGCTCTCTCGGACCGCGGGGCTCGCGTTCGTGCGGGCGGGGCGGAGCTGCGAGGGGGCGGCGATGTGCTGGCCGAGGCAGCGGCCGAATCTGGAAAAAAGTCTCATGTTTCCGTCTCGCCGGGGGCACGCAGGGCTATCCCGCGGGCTGTCCCGTGGATGACCCTGTGGGTTCCTCAGTTGTTGGTCCTGTGGGTGGTCCCGCGGGGTTGTCCCGCGGGCTGTCCCGTAGGTTGTCCTGCGGGATGGCTCGGTGTCCTTCCGTGGGGGCACCAGCCCGAAATGCAGAACGAAGTGACCCCAACAAGGAAACTGGTCTCGGTGTCAAGTCGTGCCGCGCGCGCGGGCGAGGCGGAGCCGCGCGTGGGCGACGATGTGTCAGTCGAGGCCAAGGCCAAAAAGGACAACCTCGTCTCGCGGGTTCTCCCGTAGGTTCCCTGTCCTGCCGCTGTTCAACGGTTCGTCCCGTGGGTTGTTTTGGGGGTTGTGTCGTGTGTTGTCCCGCGGGTTGTTCCGTGGGTTGACCCGTGGAATGTCAGATACGGCTTTCCCGCGATTGTCCGTTAAATTGTCCCGTGCGTTTTTGCATGGGTTGTAGCGTGGATGTCCCGTGGGTTGTCCCGTGGGTTGTGCCGTGGGGTGTCCCGTGCGTTGTTCCGTGACTTGTCCCGTGAACTGCTCTGGGGGTTGTCCCAGTAGATGTCCCGTGGGTTGTCCCGCGGTCTGTTCCGTGAGTTGTTTCCTGGTTTGTCCCGTGGGTCGTCCGCTGGGTTGTCCCATGGGTTGCCCCATGGGTTGTACAGTGCGTTGTTCCCTAGGTTGGCCTGCGGATTGTCTAGTGATTGTCCCGCCGCGGGTGTCCCGTGGGTTGCTTCGAGATTGTCCCGTACGGTGTCCAACGGTTTAGTCCGTGGCTGTCCTGGGGAACGTATCGTTGGCTGTCCCGGGGGTGTCCAGTGGTTGTCCCGTGTGTTTTCCGATTGTTGTCTCGTGACGTGCCCCGCGGGTTGTTCCACGGAAGTCCTGTGTTTGCCCCGTGGGAGGTTCTGCAAGATGTCTCGTGGCTGCCCTGTGCGAAATGCACATCGACATGAGCACCTGGAAGCAATTCAACGAAATAGTCACACATACAGCCAATCGCAGACTGAAAGCTGCATCCATCCCCACCGACCTCCTCATTCCCCGAAAGGTGGTCGATCGAGGGTACGTGCCAAGATTGCTACCTGAATTGTAGCTGTCTCGCCATGTCGGCTTCTATCGGGCGCCAGAGGCATTGGCATGACTTCAAGATGGCCCTCAAGAGGGTCAAAGGTGGTCCACATGGGACCCGACAAGGTACACACGAAAGGCCCAAGGGAGCCAACAAACAAAGTCCCAGAAGGCCCCCAGAAACCCCCAATGCATCAAGACGCCCCCAAGAGGCCTCCTGGGCGGCTCGGGATTGCCTGCATGCTCCCAACATGAAATCTCTTCGATCACGTGGGGGCCTACCATCGACCACGGAAGAGCAGGCTCCCGCGGGCACTGGTGGCCGCCTGCCCCAGACCAGGCGTCAGCAGAAGACGAGAAGTGTCCGCAACGAGAGACGGAGAGGGACCAGGAGAGACTTGTGCAGCAGCCTGCAGCCGCCACGCTTCTGCCACGAATCGGTGGCGCCGAGAGGTAGCACGGCGTCTGGCTTCAACATGTTGCTCTGGAGTGCATGGGACTCCCTTTCTTCAGGCAAGGTCAAGGGCCAGGAAAGCGTCAAGACTGGCAACATACGTAATCGCATGGACAGTGATGACGGTGTGAGGAGGAGGATGGAGGAGAGCCACAGAGCACCCTCAGGAAACGAGGAAGCCGATGGTAAGAGAGCGCCAAGCCAATGAGAGAAAAGACGGTGTAGCCTTTGACAGTGCGAGTAGTGGTTGGCAGAGTCGGGGTCGACATCGCCCTTAAAAAGCAACCTATGGCACAACCACGAGCGCAATAATGGAAACGAGCCAATGTGCAGATACATCTTGAAATGAACGTGCTGCGGCAACCACGAAATACGGCTGGGTCTTCGTCAACAGCAGGAACGAGTTCACCCAGAACCTATCATACCATCTCCTTCGACGCCTGAGGATACCATGAACGAAGACAACGGAGGAGCATCTGACGGGAGCGTGTTCCCGGGGCTGTAGAGTCCTAGGTTAGACGACACAGTTGAGCTTGTAGTCCCCTGGGGTCAGGACACGACATGAGGCCCCGAGGAACCTGGAAATACCAGAAGTGGAGCCTACGTGTAGAGTAAAAGAAGACGGTGCCCACCAGGCAGGGACCATGGTCATCACAACGCACTCGCGCTCATCAGCATGAGAGTCCAGGTGCTCCAACAATGCTCCAAGCTGGGATTATTAACAATGCAAACGCGGTGGTGGTGGCTGTGTCAGTGCTCATGGCGCAGCTGGCTGCGTCAATGGCTGAAGCGGTGCATGTGGTGACAGTGATGCTCGTGGCGGTAACGACGGTGGTCCAGGCGGTGACGGCGGTGACGAGAGAGGAGGACGTGGAGGAAGGAGGATCGAGGAAGGGGACCGAGGATCCATGATCCAGGATCGAGTGGGAGGATCTAGGATCGAGGAGGAGAATCGAGGAGGAGGATCGAGGATCGATGAGGAGAATCGAGGATCGAGGGGGAGGATCGAGTGGGAGGATCGAGTGGGAGGATCGAGGAGGATCGAGGATCGAGTGGGAGGATCGAGGACCCAGGATCGAGTGGGAGGATCTAGGATCCAGGAGGAGATTCGAGGATCCGTTCTGTGGGTCGTCATCACGGTGGCGATGGCCATCGCCGTTGCTGTTCACGTGCTGGCAACAGGGGCGGGTGGCGGCAGCCGCGGCTGCACTGTGGCGGTGGATGGCAGCCATTGAGAAGTTTGCCGCCGACCCACGTCGCCAGCTCGCAACCAAACCTCGGCGGCGAGAAAGGGGGGGGGAAGTGAGAAGGAGAAGGACCTCTCAGAAGGCGGCGGAACTTGTCAGAAGCCCTCGCGCCTTCTGAGAGGTCTGTGTTTGTCTTCGGGGAAAGTTGTCAGAAGGCCGGGGGACTTCCGAACCTTTTGAGAAGGCCTTCTCCTTCTCACTTTCCCCCCCTCGCTCGCCGCCGAAAACCAGGAAGATGGACAACACGGGACCCATTGCAACATGCCCAGGCCCGCGACGTCATGACTCTTCCGCCAGGAAGTCTCGACTAGCGTTTATCCTTAATCGTTTTTAGCGCTCCCGAGGCCCAGCGAGGGCCCCTAGAAGCCAGACGTCGCCGTAACGTCCCGTCGATGTGCTTCCCGTTGCGGCACGAGTGGTTCTGGGTCCTTCATGCGCTTCTCGAAGTCTATGTAGAACTGCACCGTCTCTGCGTCCACCCGCGGCAGCACAGCCGCCAGGGCCCTCGCTGGGGGGGGTCCAAGACTCGGCGAGCACGAGTGCGGAGGGCGAGAACCCGCGCCGACCTCTGCCGACGCGGAGGGGTCTGGTACGGGTTCTCCTGCCCACAGATGCTCCCAAGACCTCCTCCTCCTCCTCCTGATGTTCCACGCCATCCTCCCCCAAGTGCTCCCCGAAGGGTTTCAACAACGGCCGAGGGAGCACATGGTCCGATAGCATGGCAGGGCTCTTACCACAACGCTCGGCCGCATGGGCGAATCCAGAAGGGAAGGGGCGGCGGTGACTCGCCGCAGGCGTCTGCGATGCATTCTCTGATAGTTGCACACCGATAACGTCCAAGACTGGAGGGGAGGCACGCTGCCTCGCGGCGGGGGGGGCCCGAGCATCGGCAACACAAAGCGAAACGGCAAGCGTTGTTCCCTGGAGGCCTCCCACATCGGGTGCCAGGAAGTGGGGTCGGAGGATCGTGCCGCATCGCCGATGCATCACCGATGCATCGGCGACGTTGGCGATGCATCGGCGCCGACGGCCTGGACAAAATCATGCTGTACAGTCGGACCTAGGCCAGACGAGCATCCCTGAAGAACATGAGACCCCACGTCGGCCAGAAGACGTAAAACATCGAAAGGTGCCCTCCCCAGGGTGCACAAGAAAGTCCAAAAACCAGGAAAATCACTAGGGTACCCTCCCCGAGCAGACCTCGATCTTGTCTCCCGGTCCGGTTCCAGGTGGGGTTGGAGGATCGTGCCGCATCGCCGATGCATCACCGATGCATCGGCGACGGTGGCGATGCATCCGCGCCGACGGCCTGGACAACATCATGCTGCACATCGAGCGGCATCGCCGATGCATGGGCGATGCGGCGCGACCCCCCGACCCCGCCTGCTCGGACCCAGTGTGTTGGGAGGCCTGGGCCCTCGCCCCCAAGCATCAACAGCCAGGACCGAGGCTGGGGTGCCAGAACGCCGATGCCGCTGCTCCCTGGACCACTCCCTGGGGTGCACTCTGATCATGAGTTCGAGGAGCATCCAGCCTTGGCGGCGGGGCCTCTGTCCAGGACATATAGCGGTATCGTGGCTCGTCCTCCAACGAGAGGCGGCAGCGTTTGCTCCCACCCCCCTGGTAGAGGCCTGGTCCGAGCAGATGGGGTCAGAGGATCGCGCCGCCTCGCCGATGCATCGGCAATGCGACTCGATGTGAAGCCCGATTTTCTCCACGCCCAAGTCGCCGATACCTCGCATACGTCGATGCATCGGCGGTGCATCGGCGATGCATCGGCGATGCATCGGCGATACATCGGCGACGTGCCTCGCTCCCCCGACCCCATCTACGGCAATTTCGTGTCGAGACGACCGCAGCGTTGTTTTTCGGAAACCGCGTGGATCGTTCAACCTTGAGCGGTCGGTAGGCGTCCGATCTCCAGACCGTTCCACATTGAACGATCCTAGGTCACTGGCGCGGCGCTCAGCCTTGAACGCCCGCGGCGGGGTCGCGGCGTGTCGACACGACACGAACTTACGGGACGCGTCAATACATCGCCGATAGATCGGCGATAGGCCCCCGGCAAATCCGCACGGTCTTGGGCGGGGTTGGGGCTACCAGACCACTATCGGCGATCGATAGGCGAATGGAGGTCGATGCATCCCCCCTATGCCTATCTCCCCCTACCCAGATCATTGGATGCAGATTTGTTCGGTCGCGATCGATAACGACCGATCGGCACTCCGAATCGGTCGCGATCGATCGCGACCGATCCCAAAATTGGTCGCCTCCGATCGCGACCGATCGGTCGCGACCGATTCTGAAGCAGGTCGGTCGCGACCGATGCCAAACTCTGGAGCAAAATCGGCAGCGATTGGTATCGTCGGTCGCAACTGGAAAAATCCAGTATCCAATGATCAGGGTGCCCCTCTTTGCCTATCCCCCCCTATCGTCGGCTACACGCAAGAGTGACCTTGGCAAGAGTGGCCTTTGGTGCGCGTTGTTTCGGGGCCGCGGGGGGGGGGGGGGGGCGAACCCAAGCGCGCAAGACTCGACTACTGCATCGTGTTCGGCGATCGAGGGGCCCCAGTAAGCCCGCACCAAAGGTTACTCTGGCGAAGGGTCACTCCGACCGATCGGTTGCGATCAGTAGCGATTGGTCGCGACCGATTCTGGGATCGTCGGTCGCGGTTGGCACCAGCCGATCTGGAGTGCCGATCGGTCGCAACCGATCGCGACCAAGGACAAATCTGCATCCAATGATCTGGGTATCCTCGGACAACCCCCCAGGAAATCCTGGACAACCCCCCGGACAACCCGAACAAACCATGCTGATCAATGACGACAAAACGGCCTACCCTGGAAAACTCCGTGGACAGCCCGGCTGGGATGCAGACAACCCAACTGGACACTCCCCCTTGGGCAAGCCTCCCAGATTTTTTTCTCCCATAAGCCCCCCAGATCGTTTTCCCTGGGTAAGAGAGACCCTGGGTTAGAGTGACCATTGGTGCGCGGCTTGTTGGGGTCCGCGGGGGGACCAAACCCAAGCGCGCAAGACTCGACTAGCACCGCATCGTGTTCGGCGATCGAGGGGCCACAATAGACCCGCACCAAAGGTCACTCCAGCGAAAGGTCACTCCGACCGATCGGTTGCGATCAATGGCGACCCGTCGCGACCGATTCTGGGATCGGTCGCGATCGGTCCGACCGATCTAGAGTGCCGATCGGTCGCTACCGATCGCCACCGAAAAAAAACTGAATCCAATGATCTGGGTATCCTCGGACATCACCCCCGAACAACCTGGTAACCCCCGTGGACACGCCGAATAAACCATGCTTATCAATGACGACAAGACGGCCTCCCCCGGACAACCCTCGTGGACAACCCGGCTGGGATGCGGACAACCCCACTGCACACAACTCCTTGGGCATTCCTCCCAGGTTATGTTTCCCCATAAGATATATCAGATTCCCACGATCGTTGCCCTGGGTAAGAGTGACCCTGGGCAAGAGTGAACTTTGGTGCACGGCTTGTTGGGAGCCGCGGGGGGACCAAACCCAAGCGCGCAAGACTCTACTACAGCATCGTGTTCGGCGATCAAGGGCCCCCAATGGAACCGAACCAAAGGTCACTCCAGCGAAGGGTCACTCCGACCGATAGGATGCAATCGGTGGCGACCAGTCGCGGCTGTTTCTGGGATCGGTCGCGATCGATCCTGACTGATCTGGGGTGCCGATCGGTCGCTACCGATCGCGACCTAAAACATCTGAATCCAATGATCTGGACACTATCGGCGATCGATGGGCGATTGGACGTCGAAGCCAGGACGAAGACGAACTTGGGTCAGGATGAATCGAGAATCTATGAGATCTGGCGGCTCTGGACGATGTCTCGGGCGCCGCGGCCTTCACAGAGCTCTCTGGAATGCTTTGAGAGTTCTCCAGAGCGCTCTGGAACGGATTTACCTAGCCCCGCCCCCCCTATGCCTATCCCCTATGCCTATCCCCCCAATCGTTGCCCTCGACTGGAAGAAGAAACAACTGCATAAACATTAACGTTTGGCGCGCCGCGCGGATTTCTGGGATCTGCGCTGGACCCCCCCCTCCCTGGCGCACGGAGCGCGCCAGGGGCGGCGCCAGAGGCGCCGCCAGGGGGGGCCCAGCGCGGATGCAAGAAATCTGCGCGGAGCGCCTAAAGTTGTTTATGGCGTTTCTTATTATTCGATCCCCGCCCTGACCCCGTCCCCCCTAAGCCTGTCCCCGATGCCTGTCCACCCCTATCGTCCTAGCCCCGTCCCCCCCGATGCCTGTCCCCCCCTATCGTCCCAGCCCCGTCCCCCTCCATGCCTGCCCCCTATGCCTGTCCCCCCTGTCGTCCTAGCCCCGTCCCCCTCCATGCCTGCCCCCGATGCCTATCCCCCCCTGTCGTCCTAGCCCCGTCCCCCTCCATGCCTGTCCCCGAACAAATCCCGTACACTGTATTGGTCAATGTGTAACAAAAAATGTTGAAAAGGGGTCATACTGTGACAGAAATAACACAACCTTAGCGAATTCAGTGTCATGTTTGAAAAAACAAAAAAAACTACAAATATTCTTAAACTGATAACTTCCCAACTCCAGAAACAGTAAAAATTAACCTACGCAACCGGTAAACAATTAAATGCCTGTCCCCCCCCGTATGCCTGTCCCCTGTGCCTATCCCCCCCCCCTGTCGCTGCCCTCGCCTGCCGCACTCCGGCTCCACCCGGGCGGCCCGGGAGAGAGGCCCCGCCCGGCGCCGGCGCCTGTCGAAGTGCCCAGGCAGCGCGCGCGGTGCGGCCTCGACCCCGCGGGCGGCCGACTCCAGCGCCTGCGAGGGCACGGGGGGATGCCGCAGGTGGGCAATGAAAAAGACAAAGAATAAGATCACAAAGAGATCAGATACATAAAACACGTTAATCCTCAAGTGGAGATCAGAGAAATCACAGTGAATCCTCATAATGAAACTGGATAGCTTGAGAAATAACAAAAAGTCGGACATACACAAAAAACGAACATACACAAACACAAAAAACAAACAAAACAAGAGTCCCCAGGCCTTTTTAAGCAAATCTGTCTGGGGCATTCCTCCTGCAGAGGGACATGCGACATACCTGGCTCGAGGGAGGCGGCGCGGCCGCCGCCCCCGCGCGAGCTGTGTCGATGGAGGTCTTGGGACGCACGCAGTCGGGCCTACAGGCCAGAGGAGGAGGATGAGGAGGAGGACGAGGAGGAGGACGAGGAGGAGGAGTACTCGTCGTTCATTTCTAATCGTGCTCAGTTCTAAGTGTGCTCGTTTCTAATTGTTCCTGGCCCCCTCGTGGTCAGGAAGACACCCAGGATAGAAGAAATAGAAATCGAAGGATCTGGGCCCCCCCAAAACCAAAGAACTTCCGAAGAATGAGACATGAACGATGTGTAGCTGGAATCCCAAACCTGGTGCCCTGGTTTAGGAAGCCAGAAACCTGGTGCACAGGCCGCGCGCCCGACCCGCGCCCATCATGGGCCCCGGATCTGTGCACGCGCCTCCCCTGGCCAGGGCCAGGGGAGGCGCGTGAGCCGCCCCTGGAGCCCAGGGTGGACCAGGCTGGCGTCGGCGCGCCGGCCGCCTCTGGGGCACAGGGTGGACCAGGCTGCCCCGGGACGCCACCCGCAGAACGCACAGTCGCACCTCGGCCAGGACAGCATCCCTCGAGAACTAGCTGGAAACGTCATGAAACTTTTGGCGCTCCGCGCAGATGTCTTGCATCTGCGCTGGACCACCTCACCTGGCGAGCGGAGCGCGCCAGGGGCGGCGCCAGAGGCGCCGCCAGGAGGGGGCAGCGCGGATGCAAACAATCCGCGCGAAGCGCCAACAGTTTATGGTTATGGCGTTTTCTCTGATTAGAAGTGCATGAGACCCTCCGCCAGCCCCACCTGCGGAACACTGGAAGGTGCCCTCCCAAATGAAGGACAAGACCATCCAACGAACGCAAAGAACAGTAAGGTACCCTCCGAGGCCGCCGTCTCCGCGAGAGCCGGGTCGATCGAGGGCTCGATTAGGAGGCAGGATTTCGTCGGAAGGATCACGGAGGATCAAGCCCCAATGAGGGGCTGCTACGCCGGCTTTGACGCGGAATCATCAGGATTAGAGCGGATTAACCGGGATTCAGCCGGATAAAACGGAATGAAGCCAGATTTCAGACCAGGGCACAATCAGAATTTCACCTCCGCAGCGTTGCATCCGAACGTCTCCGCGTGAGCCGGGTCGATCGAGGGCTCGGAGCGCTTGAGACGAGGCCAGGGCGAGGACGAACTCAGCTCAGGATACCAGTCGAGAGTCTCCGCGATCTGGCAGCTCTGGAGACCGTCTCGGGCGCCGAGGCCTTCTCAGAGCGTGCCGGCACGCTCGGAGAGAGATGCGCAGAACGCTCTGGAACGATTTCTCTATCCGCGCCCTGGCCCCGTCCGACGAAGGCTCGAGGCGCTGGTGGAGGGTCGCAGGCTCGGAGGATCGATCGGGCGAGGTCCGAGGAGGAGGAGGAGGAGCAAAGGGAGGGGGAGGAGGAGGAAAGGCAGGGGGAGGAGGAGGAGGAGGAGGGGGAGGAAAGGCAGGGGGAGGAGGAGAGGAGGAGGAGGAGGAGGAGGAGGAGGAGGAGGAGGAGGGAGGAGGAGGAGGAGGAGGAGGAGGAGGAGGAGGAGGAGGAGGAGGGAGGAGGGTTTGGAGGAGGAGGAGGAGGAGGGGGAGGAGGAGGAGGTGGAGGAGGAGGAGGAGGAGGAGGAGGAGGAGCTCGTGTATCGAGGGTCGACGGCGTCGAGGATCGACCGCTGGAGGCCCCCGCGTGCGAGGATGTCGGGCCTCGATCGGTCGGGGAGCGAGGCTGGCGCCAAAGCTCGGTGATCGGTGCGAGCGGTCCGTCGAGGGCCGCGGGCTCGAGGTACCGATCGGCCGAGGTGCTGCGGCCATCGCGCTGCCAGGAGGAACAGAAGGGGCCGTTCCTGGCCACGGCGAGCATCGGCCCCGAAGAGGACTCTCCGGACCCACAGGCCAAGAGGCGGCCCCAAAACCCGCGCCCCTCCTCGGCCCCGAGGGGTTCCTACTTCAGCGTCGTGCCTTCAGTACGAGGGTCGCGGGTTCGAGGTTCGAGGTTTGAGGGCCGAGGTTCGAGGGTGCGAGGTCCGAGGATCGGGGCCCGAGCAACGATCTGTCGCGGTCCGAGGGACGCGGATGTAGGATGGATCGGTCGAGGACCGAGGCCTGGAGTGAGGACCGAGGGTCGAGGTCCGAGGGCTCGAGGTCCGAGGATCGAGGCATCGAGGCTCGCGGGGCTCGAGGATCGAGCCGCCGAGGTCCGAAGCCCGAGGGCTCGGGCCCGAGGAGCGACCGGCCGAGGCCCCCGGAGCGAGGATCCGGGATCGGTCGGTCGGGGCTCGAGGCCTGCTGGCCGGGGACCGACGATCGGCGCGGGGGGCCACCGTCGGGGCTCGAGGGCCGATCGCTGGGGGCGGCGAGGCTGCGAGGCTGCAGGCTCGAGCAGCGCATCGGCCCGACGTCTTGTTGGGGCGGGGGCCACTGGCCGCGCATGGCCACCGCGGGAGCCTTCGGGCACGTGCGCGACTCCAGGAGCCCCTGGGGACCCAATAGTTACCTCTGAGGCCGCGGACGTCGTCGTCGTTCGCCGCCAAACGTTGTCGCCGTGGACCATCGTCGCAGCCTTCGTTGAGCCGACCGCCATCATCGTCGTCGACCGTGGTCCGTATCTCGTCGTATGCAGTCCGCAGTCCGTCATCTTCCACTGTAGTCGTCGTCGTCGTCGTCGTCGTCGTCGTCGTCGTCGACCGTCGACCGTCGATCGTCGATCGTGAGTCGTCGACCGTCGAAACTCGACCGCCCTCATCGCCGACCGTCGGCCGTCGGCCGCCGACCGTCGGCCGTCGGCCGCCGACAGTCGGCCGTGGTCATCTATCGTCCGTCGCCTTTCGCCTGTCGCCTGTCGCCGGTCGTCGTCGTCGTCGTCGTCGCCGTCGTCTTCCTCAGGGGCCCCTACTGAGTCCAGATCGGCGCTTGGGCCCAACAGGCCGCCCCTGCTGCTCAACCACCCCCTCCTCGTCGTCCTCGCCCCGCTCCCCCTACTCCCACTTCTCTGCTCCTCCTCTGAGCCCCCAATGACCTCCAGTGTACAGTCGGGGCGGGCTGGAGACCACACGCGAGAGGCCACGAGACCCCTCCGATGGCCACGCTGCCAGTGGAACGCAGAGGGCATGGGTCGCGAAACCTTTTAGTCTGCGGGGCGAGAGCGAACCTCTTCCGGTAAAAGCTAGGCGGGCTACGCACAGCTCTAATTGGGGAGACAGGCACAGGCGGGCGGGGCCTCAGGCGGCCGGAGGGCGGGCCGGGGTGCAGGCGGTGCCGAGGAGCTTGCACAGGAAAAGGAACGCCTTGCAGGCGGTGCCGAGGAGCTTGCAGGCGGTGCCGAGGAGCTTGGACAGGAGCCGGGGGCGAAGATCCGGATGGTGAGACGGGTCGCGAAACACAGGACTCAAGTGTACCCTTGTTTGGGCAGGGTCGACCTACGAATCAAACTCGACTGCATGCTTCCAGCACGCGGGCCCCAGAGCTCTCGAGCCCCACCATATTGGCGCAGGTCTTCGCGCCTGGGGCCGCGGCCCCGAGGAGACCCCGGGGGTCTCTGTTCCCCTCGGCACCTGCCCTGCCCGTGGAGCCTGGAGCGAGCTGAGGGCGCAGACCAGAGGGACTCCGGGACCGCGGGCGGGCTGCGCAGAAGCCCAGAGCGGCTCCCAGGCATCCGACGAGCTCATGCGGGCAATACTCCTGTGCGTACCTATACGACCACCCTTCGGGTGATAAGGAGGTTCGGGGGGGGAACCAACGTCTCACTCGATCGGTCTCACTATCGATCTCAATATCGATCTCACTATCGGTCTCGCTCGATCGATCTCACTCGATCGATCTCACAATCGATCTCACTCGATCTATCTCATTCGATCGATCTCACAATTGATCTCACAATCGATCTCACAATCGATCACACAATCGATCTCACATTCGGTCTCAATATCGATCTCACTATCGATATCACAATCGCTCTCTCCATCAACGTCATCATCATCATCAGCATCATCATCATCAACATCATCAACATCAACATCAACAGCATCACCAACATCGTCATCATCATGAGAACACAGTCATCATCATCATAAACATCATCATCAACGTCAGTATCATCATCGGGACAATCATCATCATCACATCATCATCATCTCATCATCATCACATCATCATCATATCATCATCATCATCATCATCATCATCATCATCATCATCATCATCATCATCATCGGGACACAGTCGTCGTCATCATCATCAGCAGCATCATCAGAATCATCATCATAATCGGGACACCATCATGATCACCATCGTTCTCATCATCAACATTATCATCAACATCGTCATCATCCTCGGGACACCATCATCATCATGGTCATCGCATCATCATCATCATCGACATCATCATCATCAACAACATCATCATCATTGGGGCATCATCATCATCATCATGAGCAACATCATCATCAACATCGTCATTACTATTATTATCATCATCGGGACACCATCAGCATCACCATCATCATCACCATCATCATTATCAGCATCATCTCATCGGGACACCATAATCATCGTCAACATCATCATCATCAACATCATTACCGCCTGTACACCATTTCCATCAACATCATCATCACCAACATCATCGGAATCATCATCATCATCAACATCATCATCATCATCATCATCATCATCGGGACACCATCATTGTCATCATCATCAACATAATCATCATGAGCATCATCATCCTCATCATCGGGACGCTATCATCATCATCATCGACACCATCATCAACATCATCATCTTCATCGGGACACCATCATCATCATCTCATCATCATCATCATCATCATCATCATCATCATCATCATCATCATCATCATCATCATCTCATCATCATCATCATCATCATCATCCTCGCGGGACACCGCGGGACACCGGCGGGACACCGCGGGACACCGCGGGACACGCGGGACACCGGCGGGACACCGCGGGCCACCGGCCGCCCGGAAGGGAATCATTTGGTCCGGCCGCGCCTCAGCCACACGGGACTTTCGCGGGACACCGGCGGGACACCGCGGGCCACCGGCCGCCCGGAAGGGAGACATTTGGTCCGGCCGCGCCTCAGCCACAGGAGACTTTTTCTCGCCCGCCCACGCAGCTTCGCCTCGCCCGCCCGCACGGCACGCACGAACACGAAACCGAAATCGATTTCCCGGTAGGGGGGCTCTCCGTTCCACTTCGATCTCACCCCCTCACCTCCGACCCGCTGCAGTATGGAGTTCTGGGCTGCTGCCCCCGGAAACCCGAGGCGCACTGGACATGGACAGATCTGCCCCCTAGATGCTTGAGTTTTGTTCATATCCAGTGCGCCTCGGCCTCGAGTCCAAGACGCACTGGATATGGATAGAAATGTTGCCCGCATCGCATGGCTTCCATGCAGCGCCCCACGAGGTCGGGACCCCGTCCGCATGGGGTGGTCGTGGATGCGGTGTGATGGCCCGGGGGCCGGCAAACGGGCCTCGAGGGCGAGAGCGTAGAAAAACAACCAGATGGAATGAGTGGATGGTCGGAGATCCGGCAGCTGCAGCAGCAGCAGCGATAGCAGCTGTGCGCAGCAAAGTGCGTCGCCTGCAGCCGCTCAAATCATCTGGCTGCCGCCAAGGATTGGCTGTAGCGTGCGCGACCGACAGCGTTCGCATGGCACCGCTCCGATCTGATTTCCGGCGGCCCGCTTGCAGGTGGGCATTCTCAGTCTTCGCTGGATGATCGTGGCCCCTACGAGTCAACCCGCTGCACTCTGCTGACGAGGTCTTGGTTAGCAGGGGTGGGGGAGGAGCAGAGGGAGGAGCTCCCAGTCCAACCTGTGTGGTGAGTGGATGGTGAGCGACTCTGCGCCTTTGCATGAACATGAAATTGCTGCGTTACCTCAGTCACCCTACAGGGGGATTTTGGTCGAAAAAATGAAAAATTCGGAAAAACAAATTATCCCAGTGCGACCCTACTTAGGAGTTGGAACCCCTAGAAAAGCAGCATTAGTAGTAACAGTAACGCTAAGCTAAAGCTAAGCTAAAGCTAAGCTAAAGCTAAGCTAAAGCTAAGCTAACGCTAAGCTAAATCTAAGCCACAGCTAAGCGAAAGTTAAGCTAAAGTTAAGCTAAAGCTAAGTTAAAGCTAAGCTAAAGCTAAGCTAAAGCTAAGCCAAAGCTAAGCTAAAGCTGAGCAACAGCTAAGCTAAAGCTAAGCTACAGCTAAGCTAAAGCTAAGCTAAAGCTAAGCTAAAGCTAAGCTAAAGCTAAGCTACAGCTAAGCTACAGCTAAGCTAAAGCTAAGCTAAAGCTAAGCTAAAGCTAAGCTCAAGCTAAACTAAAGCTAAGCTAAAGCTAAGCTAAACGCTAAACGAAAAGCTAAGCGAAACGCTAAGCTAAATCTAAGCTACAGCTAAGCTAAAGCTAAGCTAAAGCTAAAGCTAAAGCTAAAGCTCCCAGGGGACTGGGGGGAACCGCTCCCAGGGGACTGGGGGAACCGCCCGGGGCGTGTTCCACTGCCCGGCCCCTTTAAGCTAAGAGAGTAAGAACCCTTCTAGGCAGAGCCTAGGTAGGAAAAAACTCTAAAATACGCAAAACATGTCAGCAAATCGTCCCCAGACTATTTCTGGACTATTTTCGAAATTGCCTCCTGTAGAGGGACAGACCCGACTTAACGTCAGATGGAGCTGACGCGCTGGCGCGCCACTCTGCGCACGGAGCTGGCCTACAACACCCCCGAAAGCGGCGGACCCGCTGTAAAGGCTGACGGCAGGCGGGTCGGCCGAGCCTTCCTGTAATTCATGCGGGAGCCACGCACTGCTTTGGCGTCCTTCAGCGTCGCATTGAGCACAGTGCACGCGGAAAAAAAGGGAGGAGCTCCGAGGCTCTGAGGTTCCTCCTGGCACCCTCGGGCATTGGGGGGTCGCCTCGGGGCTGGTGGTCGTCCCGTTGTCGCTGCTCCCTCTTGCCCGCCCCTGTCCTCCCACAAGCCTCGCGCTCCCCAGGGGCGGCGACCCCTAGAACCAAGCGGACCACACAGGCGACGTCGTGACCCTCCCTGACGCCAGGGAGCTGCCCGGAGGAGAAGTTCGATCTACCTCCCCCAGTTCGGAGGAAAACGAGGGGGGAAGTGAGAATGAGAAGGCCTTCTCAGAAGGCGGCGGGGCTTCTCAGAAGCCCTCGCGCCTTCTGAGAAGTTTCTGCGTCTTCGGGGAAGCCTTAGAAAACATGTCAGAAGGCCGGGGGCTTCCGAGCCTTCTGGGAAAGCCCGCCCCTTCTCACTCCCCCCCGGGCTCTCGCCGCCGACCAGTGGCGAAGGCCGCTTGGGGGAGGGCGCCCCCGAAGCGAATGCAGCGACAGCGAGACAGTGGAAGGGCGGGGAGGGGAAGGGCGCCTCCGAACCGAACTCCGAACTGACCTCCGAAGCGAATGCAACGACAGCGACAGAGGAAGCAGGGAGGAAGCTGGCAGGCGACGACGACGACGACGACGACGGCTGCGAGGCACACGACGGCGAAGACGGGCGACAGGCGACGGGCGGCAACGGACGGACGATGGACGACCACGGCCGGCGGCCGGCGGCCGACGCTCGGCGGCCGAGGAGCGCTCGACGCTCGACGCTCGACGCTCGGCGATCGGCGCGCGGGCGGGTCCTCGCGCACGGCGAGCAGCGCCGCCTCGCGGCAGACCATGACCACCTCCGCCCCCGTGCGGTCCGCCGCGCGCCTGGCCGGCGCACCGGGCGGGGGGGAGGGCGGCGGCGCGCGCGACGGGCGGCGCGCGCCGGGCGGCGGCGGCGGCGCCCACGAGGGCGAGCGGCGGCCGCGGGCGGGCCGGCCGCGTGCGGTGGCAGCTCCATGTGGGAGCCTCCCACACCATCTGGTCGGCTCCTGCGGAGCGACGCTCGCCGACGCCGGTCGACGCTGAAGCGACGCTCAGTCGACGCGAACCTGCGCTATGAGTCGGTGCTGTCGCGTCGCCTCCCAGACGCTAGTCGACGCCAGTCGACGCTGAAGACATAATTGAGATGGTATACCAGGCTCCAAATTATGATTCGCGACCAGAGCGAAGCCGTGGGTACCGGGTTGGCAGGCTGGCTCGGCGCAGCCCGTAAGCGGCACTGCACGTGCAGTCTGAGCATCCTCTCGCCATCGCTCGGACGTCCCTTCCCCGTGCCTTCGTCGGCTTCGTGCGCTCATGTTTCCCACGGTGTGGTGGCCCTGAAGACGCTTCGGCACTGCTCGACCCCTGGCGCCCGGCGGGTCGGCGCCTCGCGAGGTCCGCGGCGTCGAGGCCGGGCCCCACGGCCATGCGCCCCAGCTGGCGCCTGCAGCGCGGGCGGCACTCCATCCCTGGGTCCAGCGGAGTGAAGCACCGCGCAGACCTGAGCGGGACCTCGCCGTCCCTGGGGGGCTGCGCTCTGCGACGCTGTCGCCACTTTCGAGGGCTGCTGGTGTGTCCAGCGGAGCGAGGCACCGCGCGGATCTGTGCGAGACCTCGCCGTCCCTGGGGGGCTGCGATCTGCGAACCTGTCGCCACTTTCGAGTGCTGCTGGTGGGTCCAGCGGAGTGAGGCACCGCGCAGACTTGAGCGAGACCTCGCCGTCAGGGGCTGCGCTCTGCGACGCTGTCGCCAGTTTCGAGGGCTGCTGGTGGGTCCAGCGGAGTGAGACACCGCGCAAACCTGAGCCGGACCTCACCGTCCCTGGGAGGGCTGCGATGTGCGACACTGTCGCCATTTTCGAGGGCTGCTGGTGGGTCCAGCGTATCCCTGATGTGCCTTGATAGGGGACCTGCGGACCTGCGAACCTCCCGAATGCCGCTCGCAGAAGCATATGCGTCCATCTCACGTCGTAGCCCTCTCATTACATTCCCCAAGCTCCTCCTGCCCTGCACTGCGCAGTCATTTTGAGTATACCCCTGTAGAGGGACATGCTCGACTTCAGCTTAGCGCGCATCATGTCGGAGGCACCTCAGACCCCTGGCGTCGCAATTTCTCACGCCTGGCGAGATCGCCACACTTTTCGGGCCCAGGGCCCTCGCTGATCGGTCCTGCTCGAAGCATGCAGCGGAACGCAGGGACCTGGCCAGGGTTCCTGTCGTGATTTCCTGGGGTCTTGCATTTTGTTCGTGACGTCGAACCCTGGCGTCTCGACATGCTGGGGACAAATCCATCCCCAGAATCGTCACCCCAACGCGCGAAGCCGTTTAGTAGACGCACCCACGGAAGGAATCGAACAGCGCAGGGCTGTTTAAGAAACGCCCAGGGTCGTTTTGGAAACGCCAATGATCGGGTCCGGGTGGTTTTTCCTTCTCGATTCTGCCTTGCAAGCGGATGGCGTGTCGGTCTGCTTCGTGGGACTGGAGGCTGGCAAAAGCTCGGAAAGTTGACGTTCAAGGACCGGGACGTGCTTAGCGCATCACGCCGAAGCGTGGTGGGCCAGAACCAGCTGCGTGGCACGCTCAGCAAACTCTCCTGGCCATGCCACTCGGCCTCGCTCCCGCCCAGCCGCACGACACGGCCTCTCTTGACCAAACACACACAAACCAAGAGTCTCGCGCCGCTTTCGGCCTTTGGGGAGGGGTCCTCGGGACACGCGGGAGCCGGCAGGAACTATCCGGGGCCAAAGGGTGGGTCTCCGGGAGGAGGTCGAGGGGCCCGCGTCGTATGGAAGCAATCACAGCTTCCGAGGCGACCGGCTCAGCTCCAGCGTCCGAAAGCTCGTTTCTGTGTTTCCTTCGCACAGGAGCCGCTTGCCCGAACTTTCCCCACTCAGTGCTTGCACTGAAGGGGTCCTAGCGGAAGTTGAAAGATTTGGCGCAAGTTTCCCCCCGATTTTGTTAGCAGGCTGGGTTCCCGGGTTCCCGGTTCCGGGTTCCCGGGTTCCCGGGTTCCTGGTTATTGGTTCGGGGCCGATGTCGGTGGGTTCTGGGTTCCTGGGCTCCCCGGTTCCGGTCGATCTCTTCAGCGATTACCATCCACTGATTGGGGTTTTTCTCTGGTGCAATTCCTTCCGACATGAGCCACTTGCCCGAATACGCCAGGTTGCGATAGATCATGTCTCTGATTCGAGTAAATGCGGCGAGCTTCGCCTCCTCACCCCAGGAATCGTGGAACCAGATCACATGGGATGCGTTGAATCGGACGTTCTTACCTGGACGACCCATCAATTCCAGAGCCGGCGGTGGATATGCATAGAAGGAGCTGATGCCTTGGTACAGGGCGTCCATGTAGCCAAACATGCCAGTCCATTCAAAGGGGGCGTCATTGGAAGAAGTAAATGCTGCAGCACTGGCAGGGCATCTAGCTCGGACTACGAATGCATCAACTTCGTCGGCATACTTCCCTAACTTGAGATTGCAGTGTTGGCCGCGGCCATATTCCCGAACGTACGCGCACTTCTCTTGTACAAAGCATGAGACAAAACCAGGTATGCCAAGAATGCTGTCGACTGTGTAGTTCTTGAGGGGGTACATGTCATACGAGCACCCATGGCTGACAAAGAACGATTTGAAACTCTGGAATGCATCGAAAGCCTGCTCGTGTGATGCAGCCAAGCCAAAACGTAGCGCTTCTTGACTGCGAAAGGTTGGCACGCCAGATTTTAAGATGGCGTGGAGCGCCTCGTCGAGACTGCACTCATGGAAATGTGTTTCTCCTGCAAGCCTCACTTTTGTTATGCCGGAGCGCATTTCCAGCGTCTTCGGGTCCACCTGGACTAGCAAGCATGTCACAACCTTCCACTTCTTGCTTGAATGGTCAACGACCGAGCGCCAGCCATAGGTTCTGGCCTTGATGTCAATCAACTTAGCCGATTCCACCAGACCCGAAACACCAATCGCGATATCACCACTTGCTCCCTCAGGCGGCATGGCTGTCACGACGCCATGTTGAGCCAAGCGAGGTGCTATGAACTCCACGCATTTCGCTTCATGAAAGTATCTATGTGCGCTAGGATCGTCTCTGAAGAACCTATCCGCTTTCCCAGTAAGTTGACATTGCTTCAGGAAGGGTGGCCGACACAACTGGGAGCAAAGGCATCGGGTCTGCTTCTGGGCGAGAGCACGGGAAAGAACAAGCCGCCCACGCAGCCCTCTGGGAACCATTGGCTCGACCACACTGTGGGGCCATCATGTCCCAGGAGACAGGATGAGTTGAGCCAACATTGCTTGGGACAAAATGGCTACGGAGCTTCCGACAACTCACAGCGTCGGAGGATGATACAATATTGCCCGAGGTCGAGAGCTCCAGCGAACCCGGTTTGGCGAACAACGTCGAAGAAGATCATGAGCACGGAAAAGCATTAAGAAGTTGAGAATGATCAGCAGTACCGCCGGAAAGGTAAACAAGAAAAAGGTCATTCGAGAGATCAGGGCCAGCTTCCTGGGAGTTGCTTTCAACGGATATGTTGTCGACGCTGGATGGGGCGAACGTGCACCAGAAACTGGGCCACCTCTCCCAGCAATTTGGCCAAGAAACGCTGGTCCAGCTTTTCGGTCGGAGGTTTCTTAATCAGATGCTCGACTGTGTAAAGGGGCCCAAGGCCCAAGGACACACAAAGAAATACGCACGACTCCCAGGATTCCGCATATTTTCAAATATTTTCTGGGTTTTCGTCTTCCCCCCAACTTCCCATATTCTCGCATATTCTCCCAGGGATCAATGATTCATTGTGTCTGTGTGTTGTTGTCCCCTCCTGACTGTGATGAGAGCGAGGAGGATCGGCGGCGCACACAAAGGGGGTGGCGCGAGGGCTTCGCAGAAGGCAGCGGCCTGCTTGAGAGGGCCCAGGGGGCTCGAAGATGGCGTCTTAGCAGCCCTGGAGGGCATCTGAGAAGCCATATGCCTTGAAGACCCCCCCCAACCTTCTCAGAAGCCTGCGCCCTCGCGCCACCCCCTTTGCGCGCACCGCTGAGAGATGGCGAGAGAGAGAGGGAGAGAGATAGAGAGAGCGAGGACAGGAGGGAGGGGGAGGGAGTGCAGAAAGAGGGGAGAGGGAAAAAGCGAGAGAGAGAGAGAGAGAGGACGATGAAGAGGATGAGGAGGACAAGCAATGACAACAGTTAACTGCCCACCGTTTTCTTTCAGAGGGCGCGCATCGACTGCGCCATCGGCTGCGCTCGGGAGGTGCGGGGAACGATGAGGGGCAAGGAATGACGAGAGGGACCAGGAGCACAATCGGGAGACTCTTCATGGGGTGGGGTCCCATGGGGGGATAGGATCCCAGGGGGGGGGATCCCATAGGAGAGTCTCCCGACACAAGGGGGGAGAACGAAAAAGTCGACGACGACGACGAGGAGAAGCGTGACGAGGAGCATGCGGGGGACACGGATTTGGGAGCTGACGCGCCCTACGCGGGAGGAGCCAGAGCGGGCGCTGCGCTGCGCCGCACGCACCGAGCCGAGTTCCACGGAGAGCGGGGCCCCGCGCGCAGGGCGCAGAGGCTGGCGCCGGCGATGCTCGCAACATCGCCGTGCGCAGAACGTCCGTGTTCACACGCTGCGTGTTGGCTCAACGTGTGCTGGCCCACGTTGTGGCGATCGTATCGCGCCTAAAGTACGTATTCAGTCTACGTGTTGAGCTCCGTGTCAACGCGCTACGTGTTGCGCGTTGCGTATCGTGGCAGCTAAGACCCTAACCATTGTCGGCGGCGAGCCCGGGGGGAGTGAGACGGGGCGGGCTTTCTCAGAAGGCTCGGAAGTCCGCCAGCCTTCTCAGAAGTTTTCTGAACCTTCCCCGAAGACTCAGAAAACCTCTCAGAGAAGCCTGCCCCGCTGGCGCGAGGGCTCCCGAGAAGCCCCGCCGCCTGCTGAGGCCTTCTCCTTCTCACTTCCCCCCGTCGCTCGCCGCCGATCAAAGGCACTCTCGATGGGGCGCGTGCAGGGCAGGCCGTGCAGCCCAGGCGACGCATGGATGAGCAAGCAAGCGCCGACGCTCGCGGGCGGGGGGCGACGCTGCATCCTTGCGCGCCGCTGAAGTACATCACCGGTCCACGTGGGATGACGATTGGTCGCCAAACGCCCACGTGGTCTGCGTGGGATGACGATTGGTCGCCCACCGGTACACGTGGGATGACGATTGGTCGGCGTGGTCGCCAAACGCCCACGTGGCCACCCCGCCCGCCATGCCCACCGAGGTGCCCGCCGTGCAGCAAGAGGTCGCCGAGCCGCGCGGCAGCCGCGCCGGGGTACCCCCCGCGAACCGTCGAGCTGCTGACCGCCGAGAGGCCGTCGCTGGCACTCCTGGCCCGCCGCGGCGTCCGAGAAGGCACGGCGGAGAGGGGCTCGAGAGATGCCCCAAGTCCTCTGGTGGGCCAGGGGGCTCGGTGCAGTAGACGCCCCAGCTTCCCAGCCTGTGGGATGCTGGCGCGCCCGTGCGCCGACGCCCTTCGCCGAAGTCGTGGGCTCCTTGGCCGACCACACTCGGTCCCCGACCTGCGCGCCTCGCGCGCCGCGATGAGCAGTGCGCGATCGTCTCCGTGCCCTCGCCCCTCCGCGCCTACCCCTTTGGAGCAAGGCAGCGGCTCTGGCCCAGGCCGAGGCGCACGAAGCGCGGCTACCTCCGCGCCCCTGAGGGTGACCTGGACCAAACGACTCTGTGGGAAAAACACACACACACACAAATTATCCTGGCGAAGGACCCAACCATATGCAATTGTGAATACTGCAATTGTGAATATCTTCTCGGTGGAGCCCCCTACGGGGCCACGAAACGTACGAGGGGTATGCCGAAATGGGTGTGCGAGACGCATGCGGGCACACCCACTGGGGCCTTCGGTGGAGCTCCCTATGGGGCCACGAAACGTGTGAGGGGTGTGCCGAAATGGGTGTGCGGGACGCATGCGGGCACACCCACTGGGACCTTCGGCGGAGCTCCCTATGGGGCCACGGAACGCGTGAGGGGCGTGCCGAATGGGTGTGGCTGACGCATGCGGGCGCGGGCACTGGGGCCTTCGGCGGAGCTCCCTATGGGGCCACGAAACGTGTGAGGGGTGTGCCGAAATGGGTGTGGCTGACGCATGTGGGCGCGGGCACCGGGGCCTTCGGTGGAGCTCCCTATGCAGCCACGAAACGTGTGAGGGGTGTGCCGAAATGGGTGTGGCTGACGCATGCGGGCGCGGGCACTGGGGCCTTCGGTGGAGCTCCCTATGGAGCCACGAAACGTGTGAGGGGTGTGCCGAAATGGGTGTGGCTGACGCATGCGGGCGCGGGCACTGGGGCCTTCGGTGGAGCTCCCTATGCAGCCACGAAACGTGTGAGGGGTGTGCCGAAATGGGTGTGGCTGACGCATGCGGGCGCGGGCACGCCTTCGGCGGAGCTCCCTATGGGCCACGGAACGCGTGAGGGGCGTGCCGAAATGGGTGTGGCTGACGCATGCGGGCGCGGGCACTGGGGCCTTCGGTGGAGCTCCCTATGGAGCCACGAAACGTGTGAGGGGTGTGCCGAAATGGGTGTGGTGACGCATGCGGGCGCGGGCACTGGGGCCTTCGGTGGAGCTCCCTATGGAGCCACGAAACGTGTGAGGGGTGTGCGAAATGGGTGTGGGTGACGCATGCGGGCGCGGGCACTGGGGCCTTCGGTGGAGCTCCCTATGGAGCCACGAAGCGTGTGAGGGGTGTGCCGAAATGGGTGTGGGTGACGCATGCGGGCGCGGGCACTGGGGCCTTCGGTGGAGCTCCCTATGGAGCCACGAAACGTGTGAGGGGTGTGCCGAAATGGGTGTGGGGACGCATGCGGGCGCGGGCACTGGGGCCTTCGGTGGAGCTCCCTATGGAGCCACGAAACGTGTGAGGGGTGTGCCGAAATGGGTGTGGGTGACGCATGCGGGCGCGGGCACTGGGGCCTTCGGTGGAGCTCCCTATGGAGCCACGAAACGTGTGAGGGGTGTGCCGAAATGGGTGTGGGTGACGCATGCGGGCGCGGGCACTGGGGCCTTCGGTGGAGCTCCCTATGGAGCCACGAAACGTGTGAGGGGTGTGCCGAAATGGGTGTGGTGACGCATGCGGGCGCGGGCACTGGGGCCTTCGGTGGAGCTCCCTATGGAGCCACGAAACGTGTGAGGGGTGTGCCGAAATGGGTGTGGCTGACGCATGCGGGCGCGGGCACGAGGGAGGAGAGGGAAGAGGAGGAGAGGAGAGGAGAGGAGAGGAACGCGGGGCACCGTCTCTTCAAAACGAGGACCCAACACCACAGGATGGTTGGGAAAAACACAGTGTGTGTGTTGTGTTTTTTTTGAATGTTTGTACCCACTGTGTGTGTTGTGTGTTTTGTGTGGTTTGTATGTTTTTTACCCACAGATGCTTACGTGCATCGAGCCCCTCGGACGCGGGGAGTATGGGAGAGGAGCCGCCCACGCGGGGACAACGCGAGCGCCAGACGAGGACCCACTCGCCCGCAGGAGGGCGAGGCCGTGCGCAGCGAGCGGGCGCGCGCGGGCGCGCCCACGCTCTCTGCCGAGCGATCGGGCGAGGAAGCCCGGCGGCCAAAGGAGGAGGAGAAGGAGGAGGAGGAGAAGGAGGGGGAGGGAGACGCACCTCGGAGGAAAGGCTTCGTCTGGCTTCCTCTGGCTTCCGTGGAAATGAAATCCTGGACCCTGCTTGTGTTTCCTCTGGCTTCCGCGGCTCGGGCGGCCCCCGTCTTGACTCTGCCGCCTTCGGCCGAGGAAGAGTTATGAAGGGGCTCTGGGACACACACACACACAGACACACACACACACATACATAAACAGACACTAATAACCAGATTCCCCATATTTTTCCATATGTTCTGGGTTCTTGTCTTCCCCCCCACTTCCCATAGTTTCCCATATGTTCTGGGGAATCGACGATCAATTGTGTCTGTGTGTGTGTGTGTCTTTTGTTCCCTCTTGAAGTTAACGCAACCTCTCGGTCCTCGAGGGCAGGGCGAGGCCCTTTCTGGACCGCCCCAAATGCCCACGTGATGGCCCGCCCCAGCCCACTGGCCGTCTCCAGGCCTGGGCAGCAGCAGCCCCCTCCGAACCCCTTCATTCATGCCTCCAACCGAGGCCCCAGCACGCGTGAGTTCCATTCCCCTCGATTGACAGGGGGGGGGTACCGCGAGTAGAGCCACTCAGGTATCTGAACCCTGTCCATGGGCCTTCGCAAAAACGCTACAGGACAACGCAGAGTGCATAATGTTCTGACCGGATCTCCAGGCGACTGGTGTTGAACAACATTTGGGCCGCCATTTGCCGCAGAGTGGTGGACAAGCACAACATAGTATATCCGCCACCGTTCCGCTTGGCACGGAGTGGGCGTGTCCTCAGGTCCATTACCTCGTCCCCTGAGCCTCAATCCTCTATCCTGAGGGTTCTTGAGGGGCCAGGAGCCCAAATTGCGCAATCTTCTTGGGCTTGTCGCATGACTCGCGACAAGACGCCAAAGATGGTCCCAAGACGGCCCGAGAGGCCTACAAGACGCTCAAAGATGCCTCAACGTGAAGAGGCCCCCAAGAGGCCGACAGAGGCCCCCAAGAGGCCCACAGAGGCCCCCAAAAGGCCCCAAAGAGGCTTCCAAGAGGCTCCAAAAACTGCCCCCAGGAGGCCCCCGTGAGCGCTCCGAAGAGTCCAATAAGCACCCTTGAGAACGCTGACCCACAACCGAAGGCGGATGGGCCGAAGGCCACTAGATAGTGAACATTCCCCTGGACCCGGAAGGGGTGGGGGGGATACAGCCGGGCTGCTGAGAGAAGGAACGCTACATAAGGAACGAAGCCCCTTATGGGCCCCCAGGACCGCCTTCGTTCACGAGGAGAGCAAGAGGATCAGCCGTGGAAGGACCTTGGGAACATCCCGCCCCGTCCGAACCCAAACTGCTCCTTATTTCAGCGTCTTGACTGGAGCGAATGATGGTGGGGCAGAAGATGCGCAGGAACGTATGGACACAGTGCACTCAAGAGACCCAGCACCAGGCAGCACCCCGCCTTCGCTCGTCGGCCAACCCGCAGGGAGGCGGAGCGGCGGAGGAACGACACGGGAATGAGGTGCAGCACAGCGGAGGCCAGTCCACAAGAAACTCCACACAGAAAACCCAACACTGAGACCCCAGGACGTCCATTGATCTTTGGTGCGGGAACGTCACGATTCGCATTGAAAAGCAATCGAAACCGAAGAAACCCAGGGCACCCTGGAGGCAAGCAGGATGATAGGATGACTCTCGGCCTGGGCCCCCACTGTAACTGACTCAAGACGTGGACGACTCTGCTGCCAGGCGCGGCCCACCATTCTGCCGTGAGGGGCCCCGGCCTCGGAGCCGAGCGCACCTCCGCGCCGCAGGCTTCGGAGCCCGAGCTGCCACGGAGTGGCCTGGTGCGGGGGGTGGTGGTGGTGGTGGTGGGTGGTGGTCACTGCATAAGGGAAACAGAATCCCGAGCAGAGCAACACGCACCACGACCACGACGACGCCGACGACGACGACGACGACGGAGACGAGGGTGCGGAGG